CTTGAGGCATTACATTGAATCTCCTTAAAGAGGGTGAGATCTCCGCGCCTCAACCTAATTAGTTAGGTGTTTGTGATATGAATCTCCAACAACGCAAATTCAAACCAATCATTATGCCACAAGGTTCGGTTATTAGAGCTAGGAGCTAGGAGCTAAAAGACATCAAGAAGAATTGAATGATCACTTTCAAGCTAAGTTGTTCAAACTTGGTAAAGAGTTGCATCTATTTAAGCTTGTTAAGGCACTTTTTCATCCAAGAAACTTAATGAATCTACAAATCCAAATTCATTCTCATATTTAATGCATTATGTACCATTTATATTCATGTATTTTCATTTAATAAGGTTCATGTATGGATTTGTCAGGGTGGCTATTAGATGCCAAACACTTAGTGTTTAACTCCTTTACAACCTGGTAAGAATGCAGTTGGATGCAAGTGGGTATACCGCATTAAACGCAATCTTGATGGAAGTATTGCTCGTTATAAGGCGAGACTTGTTGCTAAGGGATATCATAAAGACAAAAGGTGTGGACTTTGATGAGACGTTTAGTCCCATAGTTAAGAAGCCTAGGTTTGTATTATCCTATATTTGGCTGTCCAGTTTGGTTGGAAACTTCGTCAACTAGATGTTAAAAATACTTTTCATCATGGTGAATTGCAAGAGGAAGTTTATATGCAGCAACCTCAAAGTTTTGTTGATTCTACCGAGTCTACTCATGTTTTCGTCTTATTAAGTCGCTATATGGTCTAAAACAAGTACCTCATGCTTGGTTCAATTATTTTACCTCTCATTTATTGAATCTCGGTTTTGTGGCTTCCTATGCTGATTCTTCTCTATTTGTTCGTAATTTGGATGGGTCATTTACTTGCTTCTTTACGTCGATGACATTATTATAACTGGGACTAGCCAAAAGCTATATTGATTCTCTTATTACTCAGTTGCGACATCAGTTTGATAGGACTGATTTAGGTTAGTTAAAATACTTTCTTGGTCTTGAAGTTTCTATTTTGAATGATGGGTTTTTTTTGTTAATCAAGTTAAGTATATCAAGGATGTTTTGTTGAAATATGGTATGCTTTCTACCAAGTCTTGTTCTACTCCTGTCAGTTTATTGAAGTTTACAAATACTGGACAACACCTTGCTGTCTTGAAGACACTCGTAATTATAGAAGATTAATTGGATCACTTCATTATCTCACTTTTACAAGGTCTGATATAGCCTTTGTGTTGGTAAACTTTCTCAATTCATGAATGCTCTCCTTGATTCACATTTAGTGACTGCTAAATAGGTCCATCGATATCTTATTGGTACTTTGCATCTTGGCGTTTTATTTCAACAGGGGCAGATTGATAGCACACTGAGCTGCATTTCATGAGATTTATATTGAAATTATTTGTTAGTTTTCGTTTTTTGATGACAAATTTAAGCACATAAGATATATTTTGTAGGAATAAAGTATGCAAGTATATAGCACATAAGATTTCTTTCGTCTCAATGCTTTCTCTGATTCCGATTGGGCTGGTGACTCTATTAATACGTTCTACATCCGGTTTTGTGGTTTTTCTTGGACCCAATCCTATATCTTGGGATCCAAGAAACAAATCACTGTTTCAAGGAGTTCAACCGAAGCAGAATATCGATCACTTGCATACACGGTTGTTGAATTATTTTGGCTTCAGCATTCTTAAACTAACAATCCGATTTTTCATGGCCGAACTAAAAAGGTTGAAATCGAGTTTCATTTTGTTCAAGAACGTGTTGTGCAGAAAGATTTTGATCTTCGTTATGTTTCTAGTACTCAGCAGCTTGCTGACCTCTTCACCAAGCCTCATACAAGTGATCACCTGCTTTATTTTCGATCCAAACTTCAGCTTAAATCTGCTTGGGGAGATAATGACTGTAGTTACTCATTGTTGTACAGTTAGTTAAATAGGTTTTGTGCTCTTATCGTTATTAATAGAGCACTATCTCTCTAGGTATTAAGATATTGTTACACTTTGAATCTCCAATTCTTCCCTCCCGAGTTTTGGTAGGTCTTATATGGGACGAGGTCTTAATAGGTCCATGGACTTGGGGCACAATCTCTTTATTGGTTTAGTACAATTATTTAATGTCATCGGACGGCCATAAAAGAGACACGTGACATAATTTGATTCGCTGATTTTAAAATTAATTTAGGACACGTATAATTTTATGATTAGTCATAAATATAATTTTAAATTGTAACATAACAATTTCTCCAGCAGGAGGATTTATATGAGTGAAATACTAAGAAATGGGCCCCCAAGTCCCTGACCCCTTGTGTAGGTGCCTTGACCCCTTGTGTAGGTGCCTCGTCAAACTTGAATGGATGCAGTTTTTCCCCAACACCTTAACTTGGAAGCGATCAATTCAATACTTATTGGTGTCTTTTAGCTCCTAGTTTATAGCTCTTATGATTGGACCTTGTGGCATGATTATTGATTCTTTTTTTTAGGAAAAGAATTACGAGATAGGGGAAGCTATTGTGAAGCCTAGAGAGGCGGAAGCGGCAAATCGCTTTTACCGAGTTCCCCAACAGCAGCTGCTGCGTAGACCATGGCTCCAACCAGAGTGGTACATTTTTATGTTGTTAATGTCTCTAAATGATATTTTTTTTCAAATAATAATTTATTACATACAAATACTAATTTTATGTTCTAAGATATCGTAGGCTTGAATACTCCAATTTCATAGAAATGAAAAGTAATTGAAGATTGACCAATAGACAAAAATAAAATATTTATTAAAAAATAGGTTAAATTATCAAATTATTTTTAAGAGTAATTTTAAGAGTGTTTGAACTCACAAATCATTCACTGTTACTGTATTGAATACGTAACACGTTTCTATTTATCTAACAACGAATTAAGTAAAAGATAAAAGTGAGAAGGAGAGGGTTCTTGGGTGAGTAAAAAATATTCACCAAGAGTAAGTGAGATTTAAGCGAAATTATAAGAATTAAATTGGATTTTTTTTAAAGATAAATTTGCAAATTTCCCTTTAGATCCTCGTCTTCCTCGTTGAGCAATCAAGTGACATGGAGAGAGTCTCATTTATATTATTTTTCAATTATTGAAATTAAGCTTGCGTAAACATAATTATTATATGAAATATATTATCCTACAGATAATTACATTCGCTGAAAAAGTCAATAATCATATTTGATATTTCAATAATTATAAGAAAACATAAACATCAAAATATAAATATAAACAAACAAATATAAAAAAACAAACAAAATAAACAAATTTAAAAAAATATTAAAATGTAGAAAAGACTCAAACAAAGATAACATCCCTGGAAAGGGTCACGCGTCGCCAACAAACAAGAAACAAATAAAACATCAAAGCTTTTAAAGTCATGTCTACGAGAAATTGTGATTTATGACCCCTTCAATAATTCATTTTGGATTTTTGATACATTCAAAAAAAAAAAAAAAACTAGTTTGTGACCTCACTCCACTTATTATTTTTTTTACCCCTTTCATTATTTTTAAATATGAAATTATTGTGGTACCCTCATGTTTCAAAATCAATCATCTCTCATTAACAAATTTCTTTTGGATCTTTATTCCCTCCACAAATTTCTTATAATAATCCATTACAAACTTAAAAAATCTAACTTTTAAACTTGAAAAATCAATTACGAATAAAAAAAAATCTAACTCAAATAGTTAATTAAAAATTTAATATGGAAAAAATCAATAAAAAAAAAGTTGAAATTACAAAATGAAATATTGTACATAATTACATAAGATTTGTCTGGATTTAATTAAAAAAACAAAGTCAAGGTTTCATTAATTACAAATAGGGCGAAGAGGGGAGGGAAGAGAGAAAGAAAGAAAGAAAAAAAACTGGACTGATTGTCCTGGATCCCAGTCCAGGATTGCAGTTTTTTTTATATACCAGGGGATAGCAGTTTCAGTTTTTTTTTTAAAAATATCAGTGCATGGATTGGTGGAGGGAATGGGAAGAATTTTACCCAAAAAAAAAGAAAAGATATTTTGATAATTTTACACTGATAAAAAGTGGAAAATGATCCCAAATTAGAATGGTAGGGATCACAAATTAGATTTTTTTAGAAATTGATCTAAAATCTAAATGAGTTATATAATGAGACTAGAATCCTCAATTTACTCATGTCTATATAGTTGTTAAATTTTAAAAAATTTAAAATAGGTACTTAAATTTAAAAAGTAGGTGTATTAAGTCTCTTACATTTTTTTTTCTCCTAGTTTCAAATAATTACTAAGGTATAGGTATACAATCTGTGTTTTTAGATTCAATAATTGATATTTGGTAGATTTCTTTTTTAATTTTATGATGAAATTTTAAAAATAATATTTTTGATGTTTTCCAAATTTTAAATTTATTTTAAATTCGATTTGGGAATATCAAATACAACTTGATTTTTTTAATGTTATGAACTTTGGATTTTATACTTTAAAATTTATTACCATTTTTTTCTATTTAAGTATAACAAATTATAAATACGAAAGTTTGAATCTCCTATGTCAAGAATAGAAGTAGGTATCAATTATATACTCATTTTAAAGTTATAAAATTTTTGTTGAACCTCTCACTTTGTGTCTAATATATAGAAAGAGCTATTTTAATTTTATTTTTTAAAGTTTCGGATATAAATCTTTAGATTTTTTTTTAATTTTAAACGAAATAAAGTTGGTTTGAAATAGAAACTTATTAAAAAATAATACTTTTTTGATGAATTGACGACCATGTGATGTTCAGCATTTGGTCGTAAGTTTCAACCGATGCATTATGTACCTTTAATATGATTCAAATAAGTTTGCAAGTCAGCATTTTTTTTAAAAAAATCCATAAATCTTTTTGTATTTTGTTTTTTTTTTTTTTGTCTTTTGTCGTTTTTTTTTTCCTTTTTTTAATTTAATATCCTTGTTCTTCTAGCAACGCTTGCAAATTTAAATATTAATATTGCTGACTTCTGATGATTCTTCCTCAAGCAATTGCAATGGTGAACGAGAGAGCAGAGGACCGAGTCAGGTCTCTCGCGAAAGTGATTTTGTTATCCATTCCATTATGTATTCAGATCATCAGCTCCGCCCTTCCCTCAAATCCATGGCTACGGAAGAATCTCTGTACTCTGATCGATTCAGCCCCTGATTCAACGGATTCTCCAGAGGGATAAAATAACGAAGTGAACTGAGGAATTTGCCCTTCTGCTGAAAGAAGATTGTTCGCTGTAGTGGCTGATTTTGTGTTCTTTCAGAAGTCGATAGAAATTGATTTACTCTACAGGGATTATGGATAGTGGTGGCGGAAATTCTGCGATGAATGGCGTTGACGATGTGGTTTATGTGGCTGTAGGAAAAGATATAAAGGAGTGCAAATTGAATTTGGTCTATGCTGCACAGAACTCAGGCGGGAGGAGGATTTGCATCCTCCATATTCATGAGCCACCAAAGATGATTCGAATCTGTAAGCTCGCTCACAAATTTTAACACGTTTGACTTTTCCTTTTTGTGGACGGCATCGATTGAATACCCAGAAAGTTGGATATTCAAGAGTAAATTAGAAGTTGTTAAAGGCTAATTTAGTATTGTAAGTTATCATATATCATATTAGGATCTTTTCTATGTTCAACTTTTTCATTCACTAAAATACTATTCATACCACATGGTTTAGTTTTGGCATGAATTGGAGTATTTGTTAGAAATGTTTGGGACTTTTTTACTGATTATATAGCAATCTTGAATTTGAGATAATGGCTAGAGGTTGTTTGTTGTTGGTAGCTTGTTGAAAACACCTGATTAATTATCCTGAACTCTCTCTTTCATGTATTAAGCGGGAAAAAAAGTTCCAGCAAGTTCTATGAAAGAAGAGGAAGTAAATGCTTGCCGAGAACTTGAAAGGCAGGATATTCATAAGATTCTTGACGGGTTCCTCCTCCTCTGTCGTGTAGCTGGGGTGCGTCCCTTGTTAGCTCTCTCTTTCAATACACTTTCATTGTTCATTGAACTAAATTGGGGTTTAAGATGCATTTTTACTTTATGCAACTATTGGGCATCAGTTAAGACAATAGTTAGGCAGCCTAGATATACAATATTAGTTATGATAAGTCATTAATCATTTTTGCGCTTTCTGTTGATATAGATAATCAAAATGGGTTGTACATAAGGAATGCTTTCAAATTTCATTTGGGATTGGTTCTATTTGTTCTACTAATTCATTAATGTTTTACTACAGGCTCGGGCAGAGAAACTTTATTTTGAATCAGACAAAATTAAGGAGGGACTTGTTAAACTCATCTCGCTTTGTGGAATTAGAAAGCTTGTTATGGGTGCAGCAGCAGATAAGCATTATTCAACGTACATTCCAGCTTCTTACATTCTGTTTATTCCATGTATATGTGCTTAAAATAAGGGTGCTCTTTTTATGTTCATTAATTTTTCTGTTGTGTGCATTTTCCAAATGATGGTTGAAAACACAAGTTAAGAGCTTGAGGGGAGATGAAAATAAATGTATTTGATATTAATTAAAGAAAATTAAGATAATATGAGTAGAAAAGATTTGGTTCGGATAAATATAACATTACGTCACTTAGTTAATAGTCATTTTGATATAGCAGTCAGTAGATCAAGTGAGAGAGAGATGATAGCTATTTAGTTTCCTTTTCAACAGGATATATCGTTATTAGTTATTATTGTTGTGGTGGTATTGCATTTTCTTTATCACTTCAACAATATTGCAGATTCCTAGGGGCTTAATCATTGTGGGGTTATCAGTGTTTTTTCTTTTTTCTTTTTTGTTTTAATAAATGGGAGTCAGAGCTTTGCTCCCCTATACCCAGGGGGCACTCGTGCCTGCCCCAAAGCCCGAACCCGGGAAAAATCAAAAGTTTTTAGTATTAAGTTCACCAGAAGGTTCGAATCTGAGATCTCTAAGCCAGGATGATCAAGAGACCCCAAGTCCTTGCTAATTGGGCTGCCCCTTGGAGTTGTGGGGTTATCAGTATTAGTGATGAGGAAGTAGTGTGATGTCTGATAGTTGTCAACTAAATGGAGGATTATATAGAACATGTATTCAATGATTGTTTATCTTCTTTGGTGTTGCAGAAGAATGAAGAAAATCCGGTCTAGGAAAGCTATGTATGTTCACCTGAAAGCACCAGCTTTCTGTCAAATTCAATTTGTTTGCAAAGGGATGCTAATTCGCATTAGGTTTGTTGCTCTCACTCTTGATCTGTTTTTCATACTTTTACTGCATCGCATATTGACATGGGCATTGACCTTAATGGATCTATGTACTGGATATGACATCAATTCCTGAATGAGGAAACTTCTTGTCCTTAATTTACATGTGGATCTATGGTTAATAGTCAATCCTTAGGCCAACATGGCCAATAGTTTAGCAGGAGATATATGGAGCTGTTATGGCCTGCATACTTGTTTGTTGTTTAAGATTGCAGATTCAGTTATCCGACACTGATACAAATATTGTATACAAATTTAAAGGGAAGCTTGTCCACGAGAAGCTCATGCAAATATCCCACTGCCATTGCCATTGCCATTGCCACAGACACAGAACATCATCAATGGTGCAAGTTGGAGATCAGTGCAGTCTGGCCAATCCAATGGGAGCAGAGGAGACACTCCATCAATTGTTCTGGAGACGCGTTCGATTTCGAATAGTATGTTGGATGCTGGATCTTGGAGCCCTTTTGAGCATCCATATTCTACAAGTTCTTGTAGTGGGTGTATAAATGTCCCATCTTCAAGGACTGAGGAAGATGAGTATGGACTAGGATTAAATTTGCCTCTTCAGATGAAAGATCTCACTCCTAACTTATATTCCCCCAATTTGTTGGTATGCTCCAGAGTATCAGCTTTTTAAATTTTTAATAGAACAAATGTGGTGGTGTGGGAATTTAAATCTCTGATATCAAAGAAATGAGGAGATGTTTTTACCGCTAAGCTATGTTCATACTGGCCTCCTGAATATCAATTTAGACATTTCTTATATATTTTACATTCAAAATTTGAGCATTGAACCTACAAGTGATTTTTTATTTTGGCCTTGCTATTTTTCAGGGATTCGAGCAAGATGAAAGTGTTGATGACAGTCTTTATATTCGACTTGAACAAGCAATAACTGATGCTGCAAATGCCAAGCGAGAAGCCTTTAAAGAGGCAACGAGGCGAATAAAAGCTGAAAAAGAACTTGGCGATGCTATTCGCAGGGTAATTCTGTTGTCAATTGTCATGTAGTCAGATCTGGGCTCTATTCATTTATGTAGATAATGCACTACCACTTGACTCTATACGTGGGTGTTAAGGATGAATAAACATGGGTTTGGTAAATTTAATTCAAATATGGATATCTCAACACTCCTCGTCTTTACTCGTGGATTTGGATAATAGCACAAGGCCTAACGACTGGAAATCATTATAAATAGGGAGGAAACATTAATGCACGGATTCGAATACGGGAGCTCCTGCTCTGATATCATGTTAAGGATAAATAAACCACCATTCAACCCAAAAGCTTAAGCTGATGGGTTGGGTAACTTTAATTCATATATGGATATCTCAACATTGGGAACTGTACTCTTTTAGATAATTAGATAATATTAATCTTGGATTTGGGTGTTCTTATTGCATCAAGTTGTAGTCAGCAACATTATGATCTCATATGATTATCATCGAATAAACAGGTTAAAGATTCTGAAGCCTTATATGCTGGAGAGTCCAGAGAAAGGAAAGAAATTGAAGCAGCACTGTCCAAAGAAAGAGGAGAACTTGACAATGTGAAGAACCAAGTAAATGAAATGATGGAGGAGCTTCAAATCGCCCGAAACAAGGGACTAAAGTTAGAGAACCAAATTGCAGAATCTGATCTGATGGTGAAGGAGTTGGAGAAGAAGATTCTCTCAGCCATTGAGCTGCTGCATAATTACAAAAACGATCGAGATGAGTTACTGAGGCAGCGGGACGAAGCACTCAAAGAAGTGGAGGACATGAGGACTAGACAAGAAGATGCCACAGGTGAACATAGCGCTCAATTATTCTCTGAGTTCTCATTCTCAGAAATTGCAGAAGCAACCAGGAAATTTGATCCCTCCCTTAAGATTGGAGACAGTACACATGGGATTATTTATAAAGGTCTGCTATATAACACTGAGGTTGCCATAAAAATGCTTCGTTCTCATAGCCTGCAGAACCCACTAGCGTTTCGACGCGAGGTACGAAAGGCCTGGATCCCTTTTATATCTTGAATAATATTTAGGTACTTATTAGTCATTAGGTATTTCTTACTAACTACCACTAAAAAATTGATAGCTAAAAGAGATGAATACATCATGGAAGAGAGAGACAACAAATATTTTCTTTTCTTAAAAATAATAAATAGTTGTCAAATTTTTAATGGTGGTAAGTTGGAGGATACCTACCGACCAATAAGCACTTAAGTATTATTCTTTCATCTTTACGATGAATTAAACTATTTAGGGTGATTTTGAGATGACTTTTAAAAGAATAAAATGTGCCTTTAGCCCCCATTTAAAATACTTTCTAAAATTTTTATAGTATTTAATTAGGTAAACACAAGTAATTTTGAATATTCTAAAGGTACTTCTACTTATTTTGGACCGTTAGAGTATAGATATTAGTATATTTTATACTTGTATTAATATTAATTTGTCATTTACCTTCTTCTTATAGGATTAGGTCAACCTTGTATATTTGTCTATATATATAGACTTTAATAATGAGAATACATCACATTGAATTCTCTCCAACCTTAGTCTCTACATGGTATCAGAGCTCTAGGTTTCTTGCCCATTAGGGTTTTGTGCCCATTAGGGTTTTGTGCCCATTAGGGTTTTGATGCTCATTAGGGTTTTGTGACCATTAGGGTTTTGTCCCTTAGGGTTTTGTTCATTGCTATCCAACTCAACTCACTATTACTGTCGTCGCCTCCGCCGACCGACGCTGTTTGTTGATTCGCCAGTGCTGTTGTTTTCTGATTGCTGTTCGTGGGTTTCGTCTCGCCGCCAATCGCCGTCGCCGTCGCCGTCGCCGTTTGCTTTTGTCACCGCCAATCGCCACCCGTTGCCTTCGCCCTTCTGGTTGTCGTGGGATAGCACTTAGGGTTTCTTGTTTCAGAAAACATCTAATCCGATTTGGTTCCAGTAGTTTGATTCATCTATTTTGTTTGGTTCGGGTGGTTTGGTCTGGTTCTGTCGTTTTGTTCAAATAAGTTCGTTTGTTTGTTATGACTGAGAAGAAATCAATCGTAACTTCTGAGGTGATCCCAGTGATATCAAAAATCACAGAACACAAATTGAATGGAGCACGAATAGATTATTTGTCTAACAAGTTGGGCATGATCAATATATATGCACCAACTTGAGGGGGAGTGTTAGAGTATAGATATTAGTATATTTTATATTCTTGTATTAATATTAATTTGTCATTTACCTTCTCCTTATAGGATTAGGTCAACTTTGTATATTTGTCTATATATATAGACTTTAATAATGAGAACACATCACATTGGATTCTCTCCAACCTTAGTCTCTACATGGGCCAAAAGCACTTTTGTCATGACCAAAAGTACTTCCCACTCAAAAACATCATATTTGGGAGTGATTTAACGGTACTCAAGGAAAACGTCAAAAGCATGTAAAATGCTTTGTGAGAGAGCACTTGTAGAGTGGTAGCCCAAGTGCTTGTCGAGGAAGTACTTAAAAATCACTTTTTAAGAGAGCAAAACCAATCAAAGCACATTTGTTAAGAGCACTTTCAAATACACCCTAAAATACACTTCAAATACTTTTAGGATTAGTGTTTCTTTCAAAATTGCTTACAGAAGAAACGCTCACACTTTAAAATATATTTTTTTTTTCTGAAATCACCTCAAACTTACCCTTATTGTTGAGTTTTTCTTTTTTTAATAATCGTGAGTATTTGGGCCAGCTTGTCCGTACCTCAACTAATCTCACGAGACAACTGTCTGACCCTACTACATTTGGTTGCCATGAAACACATAGGATATTAATTCCCAGGTAGATGGTCACCATTATCAGGTATTTTTGCAACCTACAAATCCTACTTTGAGTGCTACAACTTCATCAAATGCATATTTGGTGGGCATGGATATTAATCTAGACAATAAATTGATGTTAATAATTTTTTAGAAATATATCTCAAGAAGAAATTAATTAAAAATAGCAAGTATTAACTAATATTTATTATATTTTTGTGTATGCATGTTATATGTTAAGGTGTAGTTTCTAGGCTAGGCACTTATTTTGATTTTAATTAAGATCGTATCTTTGCTCAATTAACATTAGAAGTTTGGAATTCTCATATCATATCAAGTCAATTTCAAATTTAAGTGAATTGAACGTATATTTTATGGTATATGCTAGGTTGATGTGTTGAATAAGTTGAGACATCCAAATATTATGACGCTCATTGGAGCTTGCTCGGAGTCTTGCATTCTTGTTTATGACTATTTCGCCAATGGAAGCCTAGAAGATAGGCTAGCCTGCAAGGACAATTCTTCCCCATTATCATGGAAAACTCGAATACGCATTGCCACACAGTTATGCTCAGCCCTTGTATTTCTTCACACAAACAAACTCTGCAGGGTTATTCACTGCGACTTGAATCCTGCTAATATACTACTAGATGGCAACTACATTCCCAAACTTGCAGGATTTGGCAATTGTCATTTTTTACCTAACGATGAAACTACATCTGTCAGAGCTGACATAGAGAGCAACCATGAGTCTCCGCTCACAACAAAGTTGGACGTTTTTTCATTTGGCATAGTATTGTTAAGGTTGTTAACAGGAAAATCAGACATGATGATAAAATTATTACATGAGGTTCAATTTGCCATAGATGGCCGAAAATTGAAAGATGTATTGGATCCACGAGCCGGGGACTGGCCGTTCGTGCAAGCCGAACAGTTGGCCCAATTGGCATTTAGGTGTTGCAATACAAATAGTATGAAAAGGCCAGACCTTGCGTCTGACGTGTGGAGAGTACTTGAGCCAATGAGGGCTTCTTGTGGAGTTTCACTATCAGTATGCCTAGGCTCTGGGGAGCAACAACTGCAACCTCCTCCTTATTTCATATGCCCCATTTTTCAAGTAAGTTTTATTATTACCTTAAGCCTCTCTCTCGGTTTTCTCATAATTCTTGCTTTGATGATGGTGTTTTAGTTAAAGGATATGTAATTGTTGTAAATGCAAGTTTCTGAACTGTTTCATGTATATCTCTTTGCATATTCTTTTCATTGATGGAACCTCCTAGCTAAAGTTGAGTTGATTTTCTGGCCTTTCTTATTATTCACATCGTTCCTCAATACAGTTCTTTATGGGATCCTGGTTAAATACATTGTTGGTCTCGAGTTTTCCATCCATTTTTTCAGTTTAGTCCTTGAACTTGTAAGAATTTTTCTATTTCGGTCACTAGACTTTGATCATAAATCTTTAAGAATCTCATTTTTAGTTTAATTTATTTAGAAGTGGTTTAACATCATTCATTATACCTTATCATTTTTTCACGGTAGAGACAACATGTGGAGCTGAATGAAAATTAAATGATAAAGTTGTTGAAGGATTAAAATAGGGAGGGGTTAAAAGTTTAGAGATTAAAATAGAAAAATCTTAGTTATTGGCTGGGAAATACACATCTTCTATGTACATTATTCTTCTTTGCACCCACACCTCTGATGGATTGATATTTCATTCCTTCCATTGGCAAATATTCAGGAAGTCATGGAGGATCCTCATGTGGCAGCCGACGGGTTCACCTACGAGGCGGAGGCATTGAGAGGATGGTTGGACAGTGGGCATGACACTTCGCCAATGACGAACCTTAGGCTCGACCACCGAAACCTCGTCCCTAACCGTGCTCTTCGTTCTGCAATTCAGGAATGGTTGCACCAGCCCCAGTAGTAAGCCCATTGATTCATTTTTGTGTTGGTTTTGTGTTTCTGTTTCCATATAGTTAATCTCTGCCATTACAGAAGTAGGGGAAAAAGAAAAGGAAGAGATAGAGTGAAAGAGTGGAAGGGAAACAGTAGATATGTAGGTCCTGTTCGGTAATGATTTCGTTTTTAGTTTTCTATTTTTAAAAATTATGCTTATTTCCTCTTAATTTCCTTGAAAACACATTTAAATTCTTACTCAAATATCAAAAAATAAAATGGGTTGTTAATACTTACTTTATTTAGATTTTGAAAACACTTTTAAAAGATACATAACACAGCAAAGAAACATATAAGTGGAAGTAGTGTTTATAATTAAAATTTTCAAAAACAGAAAACTAAAAACTAAATGGTTACCAAACGGGACCGTGAAAAAATAAACGAGATATGGAAAAAGGAAATGGGGCTGGTAAAGAATCTGTTTTCCTTTTTGTTTGTGGTGGGTTCCTAAAGTTTGGAGAATGAATCTGCTACCATATCCTTTTCCTGTTGGGTTGCAGTAATATAGAAAAAGTGTGAATATATATATATATATATACGTAAATAAAAATGTGTGTGTATAATCTGTTGCTTGTATTTGATTTGATTTGATGACTTAAATTCCAGGCAAGTTGGTCATTAGCAAGTGCTATTTCAGACAAATCCTTTTCACCTTCTATCAAGTTAAATCAGTCATTGAATGTTGGCTTTTTTTTTTCTTTTTTAAATATCATTTTTAACTCTTATTTGGCAAGTTGCATCCATTTTTATTCCAGAATTTTATCAAATTCACCTTAGATTTGGATAAATATTACAATTTTCATCTAACTTTGAAAAGGTGTTGCAATTTTGTTTCAACTCAAGTCTCGTGCCTACTAAGTATTAAGTTCATTGATGGTTTCAATATTGTATTGGTTATCGTGCCCTTGACTTTGGTTCAAAATACTTTATCTTTTAGGTGCGTGTACTTTTACTTTTTGTTCATTTTAATTCAGGTTACTTTCAAAATGTCTATTTTGGTTTATGCATTTTATTTTTACATTATTATTTTGATCTTTTTTAATCTCATTTTTTCAATAATAATTTTAGCTTGAATTTTTAAAGAAGAGTTTCTTTGTAAATTCGTGTTAAAATTTTGCAAATAAATATCAAGTCAGTCATTTTTTAAAGTACCGAGATTAAAACGAACATTTTAAAAAGGAAAATACTTGAAGATTCACAAGCAGTTTCTTCCGGAATACCTATGTGGCCCAATAACATGTAGACAAATATTAACTTTTTTTCCTTTTTTATTTATTAACTTTTAATATCTCCTATTTTTTCTCTTCTTCTTCCCTGTGTTTCATCACATCTTCTTCATTTTTCTCTCATTTTATCTCTAATTATATATTTCAATTCAAATTTTCGCTAAAAAAAATCAAATTTACTATATTTTTTAAAAATGTATTGTACTTTTTTTTTATTGTATCTCTTCAATACTATTTCCAAAATAATATTTTTTTTCATTGTTATAAAAGAAAATTCTTATGTTTTTTTCCATCCACAAATAAACTTGATATGTTTTTCACCATTCAATGTACATTGGGTAGAAAATTTAATTTTTTTTAACAAATATTTGTCTTTTAGTTTATCTTTGTTTCTCATGTTCTTTAAATACAAAAAGGGCACATTAAATGGAAAAAAAATAGACAAGACAAATGCATAAGAGAATTACTTATGATTTTGTAAAATAAAATTAATTAAAAAAATAGAGATAAAATCGTGAAGCTTTGTAGGAGAGAGAAAAAAGAAGAATAAGAAGTTGGAAGAGAAAGGAAATAAAATATATATATATATATATATATATATATATATATATATATGTACAAGAGATAGATATTAAAGTTTGTTAACCACGTAATCATTCAGAAGGACGTTTTCGAGAGGCAAGTTTTATCTATTTAAAAATACTAGTACTAAAATGAATAAGATAATCGACATGAATCAAAATCAACTAGCCGAACGAAAACTAAAGTCAACAGAGAGAGAAAAATAAATAGTATTTAAAGCTAAAATAAATTATTAAAAATTCCAAGTATTGAGTCTTGATATAGGAAATTTAGAGGGGAAGGGCGTTGCTAGGAAACTTACAAATTGGACTTCCACTCCTAATCAAATCACATCTATCTAATAAATTGAATGATTCAAAATCAAATCCTCGCATTGAATATTTAGGTTGCTGGGTCCTATTAAATCAAGCCAAGGAAACAAAAAAAAAAGTGTCTAATATATATATATATAAACTCATTTAAATCTTTAAAATTTTTCGTCCTTTTTTAATTTTGTGTCTAAATTTTTAAATTTTTTTGTTTTAGTAGTTAATTTTTCAATTTTTATGTCTTAGATGCTCAAAGTTTAAAAGTATCTAAATTCTTTAACTTTTAATTTTGTGTCTAATCGGCTCTCGACATATTTGACATTTTTTTTAAACGGGTGGATCTATTAGATATAAAATTGAATTTTGTGTATCCTGATCTTTTAACTATGTGTCTAATAAGTCTGTAGCTTTTAAATTAGAAGTTCATGACCCAATCTGACAATTTTAAATTTCAAGAATCTATTAAACGATACACTACACTACACTCAATATATTTATCAAAACATAACAATTACTTTATATTAAAGAGTTTCGATTATGTGTAAATGTCAAAATATTGTAAATATAGATGAAAATTATCACTTCTTTTTAAGAACACACGGACCAAACTAAACATTTTGAAAGTATAATGACTAAAATTAATCAAAATAAAATATAGGTACCAAAATGAATTAATACTTAGAATATACGGACTAAAATAGTACTTTAAAGTAACTATATTAAGTTTTCATTAAATAATTCATCAACTAAAATTAAAATTTTTACTCAAAGTTTAAGATTCCAACAAAATTCCGAGAACAAATCCAAAGGGGATAAAGTACCTTAATACCATTTAAATGCTTATTAGTCCAATTTCTACCCCTTACAATTTAATACCATTTTAAAGCTCAATATTTCAATTTCCAGACCAACCAAAAAACACAAAATATTGGAAAGTTTTAGCATGAAAGTGAAATAAGAATAAAACAAAAGTTTAATGATAATAATACTAATAATAATAATATGGTACGGATTTAACTATTAGCCGTGGGAATTGACATCACACACTTTATTTTTAGTGGGCTGCAGCCTGGAGCCCATTTCACCATAAAATTCTCTCTCTCTCTCTAAAATAATAATAATAAATTATTTAAAAACCGCACGTGTGATCCTAATCGGATCGGGATGCCACATGTGCTGATTGGACGCTCCGCTGAAAACCATGTGCGGGCCCTACTTTTCAGCTCTTCTGCCGTACGGCATCAAATATAAAAGAAAAAAGGATTCCGAATCAGATGCGGTCGGGTTCATCGAACTTGGACACGTGGCTGCCTTCTGATTGGTTACCACGATGTTCACATTCGCGATCAGTCTCCACGTGTCGGTGTCTCTATGGAGCTTCCCGCACGTCTGCTACGGAATTATCTTCGGGTCTGCCAATTTTATGTACGGCGATACGGAGGTTGGAACATGTTCAGGCGGTAGCCAGTGACCGGCTTCCCGTGTTCTCCCCACGCGCTTGTACTTTCTGTGCCCGCGCGTGCCTTTCCATAACATTTTAAAAAAATCTCTTGCCCAAAAAGAATATAAAAAAAAAATTACAATGTTTTGGATTTTAAAAAAAATAATTTAATGTTTTGGATTTTTTATATGTAACACCAACCAAATATTGGCTCCATTAATTATTTAATGTCAAATCAAATTTAAATAATTTAGTTCCACTTCTATTCTATCAAATAAAAACGTCTAAGTTCAATCCAAGTCGTAATCAACAAAATTTTCTTATTTGTTTATTTTTTTTTTCACATAAGCATTAATTATCCTTTTAAAAGTACAAGGACCATGAAAAAAGATCTATACTTAAAATAGAAATGAAGATTTTTTTTCTTTCTAAATTTTATTTTGGATATCATGTAAATAATAATAATAAAAAAATCATTATCCATCGTAACTTGAATATCTAGATCTTGATTTTATTTATATATTGATTAAAAGAAGCAATTGTAAATATAGCACGATCAAATCATTCCCAAATAAAATTATATCAGAGTTAAAAAAATTCATCAACATATATCAACATCATGCGTCCATAATAACTTATAGGTCATATTTGTAATTTTTTTAATTTGGACTAGATTTTCTGTTATTTTAGTCAGCTTGCGAAATTACCTATCTATTTTAATAATTATCTCAAATTTAATTAAACTAGTCGGGTTTAGTAGTTAAAAAATAAATTTATTAAAGAAAGTAGATAAATATATTATTATTATTAGTTTGACTCCTATTAACAAATGTTGGAACATTTCAACCATTTCAAACCTACCCCATCTATATAATATGGTTACATCTAGTTAGGTCAATCACGTAACTAGTGTTGTTTAGTTTTGATAAATTTACGATTGATAAACATCTAAATATTGTTCTAAAATCGATAATCCAAACAATATGAATTAGATCCAAAATGTCCCCCGATCAAAACACCCAATATCTACTCTCAATCGCCTATTTGAACATAACTGAGTGGATAAAGATATCAATTACCGTCCCAAATGTCAATAGTTCGATTCCATCTCACAATGAAGTTGAAAAAAACCCTCAATTGCTCCTTCAACATTAAAAGTCTATAAGTTAGTAATTAACCATCTTAATCATACTTAAAAATTCCCCAGTATTTTTGTGTTAATTAGACTAGTTAATGATGGCTCAAATAATTAAAAATGACATTAAATAAAGAGTAAAGAGAGAGATATTCAAATTAATCAAATGGAAAAGAAAAAAAAAGGACTTTTTTTTTCATCTCCGTATATAAATCAATCAATTGAGGAAGTACAATAATGGAGGTCGTGGAGCTCGGGAAAAGGACAATAATGGAGTCAGCTCCTCAGCAGTCTCTCCCCACGCCATGGTGACGCGTGTATTATACGGATAAACAGCAACGGCTATGGATTCATCTCTCAAACCCCAAAAACAAAGGGAGAAAATAGAGGGAGGGGAATCGAAGAAAGTGGAAAGAAACCAGTTCAACGGGTTTTGGTAGACGCCGTTTTCTATTCGTTTTCCTTCTGCCATGGCCATAACGACGACGACCCAATAGAAAAAATAAAAGGAAGAAAAAACCAAAGGGGAGAAGAAGCTGACACTGAGTTGAAGAAAGCTGAAGGCTGAACCGATACACTGTTTTCTTCTCTTTCTGCTGCTTCTTTCAAGCTTTTCGGTGAACTCTCTCTTTAGGAATTCACTATCTTGGAAGTTAAAACCCTATTTCTTGCTTCGGATCTCGGATTGGAATCGGTGCTGGGGTTGTTGGGGGGAGGGATGGATTCGCGGGGAGATGTAATTGCGGTGGTTCTGGGTTTGATGCTGAGTTTGAGCCTGGTTTCAGCTGGGGATAT